AGCATTAAAAAAATCAAATTTTGTTCTTTTATTGTCTTTTTTTCCCCTTAAACTCAAAGCACAGTAGGATTGATTACTTTTTCTCTATACCATTCTCTGAGGAACTCTAGATTCATTAACTCAGGGGCCACTATTGTGGGATCACCCTGAATTGATTACAAAAATCCCATGAGGAAATGAACATAACAGGTGACAATATGAAACCTCTGAAAAGTTTTCTTTGGGTTAGTATAATTAGTTCAACCCAAGGTATGTATGAAAAAAAATAAACATAGTTCATAAAAATTATTGTATAAAATGCTGTGCCCCAAAAATCAAATTCATGTTTAATTCCCAAAACATATTATGGTTAGTGATTTTTTTTCTTGAAGGTTAGGATTAGTACAATTTCTTAGGACTGAAATTTGATAGGGTAATTATGTTTTTCTTCTGGATTTTGCTGGAGTATTTTAAAATTTTATTAACTTGATTTTTTTCCTCCCCAAAATGACAGCCTCATTTAAAATCTCATGCTCAAATATTTTAAGTTCTCCGTTTCTTAGCATGTGTGTCCTATATCTTTAAGACTGACAGGAAAAAATATTTTTAATACAATTTTTTACTTTATTCTAAGAATGATTTTTTTCTCAGCTCTGTATCAGGTGCTCTCCATGAAAATTACAAAATAAAAATATAATTTGACTACATTATTAAAACTGTGGAAAATATAGACAATTAAAAATAAATTAATACTCCAAACTGAAGATAACCACAGTTAACATGATATAGGACTTCCTAGGTTTATTATTTGTTTATTTGCTTTATCTTAATAGAACACTTAATTTGTCTCACTGTATATTTGTGTGTTTGTGAAATATTATTTTTTTAGTCAACAAATATACATTGCTGTCCTACTATATTCCAGGTACTGTTATGCCTGGAGAATAGAAAGGTGAGCAAATAGTCTTTAGAGATTAATGGGAGAGACAATTGTGAATCAACTAATCACACAGATTCTCTTTAAGGAAAAGATATAAGTACCATGATAAAGAAAAATTGTTCCAACGAAAAGAGGACTAAATAAGACTAAGTAAGACTCCACATATATGAGTTCTATTCTTGACTCACAAACTATGTAACTTAGGCCAAGCACTTCCCTTTTTACTCCTCTGTATAAAATAATTTTATACTGTGTGGGCTGCGGGGTCCTATTAAGGTCTAATTTTTATTAGCCCAGTGCCAAGTAATCCTTGCAGAAGTAGTTCTTTCACAAGTTGTTCGTCTTACGACTCATCTTAGTAATATTCAATGTCTCAAACTTCCTCTTAAAAATGAGATTAGTGTCCTCAAATTTAAAACTCAATGTCAGTGATGACTATATTGTATTACACACTGTCTTAAAACCTGTGCACATTGCAGGTGGTTTCTTTGAATAGTAAAAGCATAACCTGTGAAGTTAGGCATTCCCGAGTTCATATCATGCCTCAGCTACTTGCTAAGTAGTTTTGACAAATAATTTACTTATAATACTATTTAACTTGCAATACTGGTGTGGAATCATAAACAATATATTAAAACATTTATTAGCATTCCTGACTCATAAGTAGACTTCAGTAAATATTACCCATAAATATACCAGGTATCAAAACTATCCTTAGCAAGAAATTCACCAGCTGAATTCATACCCAGTCCAGATAGAGGTAGAAGCATATGACAGTCAGGGCTTTAATAATATAAATACAATGTGAAAATTTGAACATCATTAAACAGGAGAAAATGCTTAAAATTAGCATTTAAAAGAAAAACAGATGAAAAAATAACTCCATTCATGATTCTCAATGGGACAGGATTAGGACCTAATTCTGAATTAGTGGTAATAAACTGCTCCCAATCTGATTACATAATTGTTTTTGTTTCTTTTTAACTTGGTGAAATTTCTTCATCATTCTAGCTATATGTCTTAAAAATTAAAATCCTCAATTGAAAATCCCCTTATTATTTTATTAGAATAAATGGTTTTATTGAGTTTTACATGGAGGGCATGATCATATTAATAAGTTAACTTTTTAAGGAAATATGATTAATTCTGTTATTTGGGAATGGGATAAATCTTTTTATGCAGAAAAACTGACAAAACTCACTGCAAGAAATATTGCATGCGTGTGTGCCATTTGTGGGACAGTTGACTAAGTATGCACTAGGACTCAGAAGTGCCTAGAACATAGAGACACTATCTCTTTGGTTGCCAGAGGGCTACATTAAAGTCTAAAGGTATATTAAAGCTTAAGTTTCCAAAAACTCCCCCACATGATACCATTTGTATTAATTTCTTTAAAAAATGCATAATGAAAAAAGTTACTATGAAATTATTACTAAATTTTAATTATTTTTAAGAATAACTATATTTGAAAAACTAGGAATCCATACAGATATAATACTTAATAACTCTATAGATAATACAAATTTATATGGATATTGCATGATTGCTATAAAATCATGACTCTTCAAGAGACAGAAAATGCCACTGAAGACAATGGAAATGGTTTAGATCTACATAGCAAGATTATTACTGTTGAAGATTATTGCTTCAATTACTCTGTACCTTACTCCACAAATTCTTCAAAGTTAATTACAAAAATGTGACTGCAGAATTTTAAGATAATATATCATAATATTATACTAATATGAATTACTGCTTAGTTATGGATCTCAGTGTTTCTAGGCTAGTCTAATGAATTCTCCTCTAGACGTTTGCAAAAGAGGTTAAAATTAAAGTCTTTTTAAATGTCAAAAGAAGTGTTAGCCTCCAGGGGCCCTCTGGGCTCCACCTTTCCCTATCTGACTCTTATCCTTCCTTCCCAATCATGGATAAGGATGGCTTCTCCAGCAAGGAGCGCTGTTCTGGTTTAACACATTTTTATGAACGTGATTCTTCTGGGTGAAGTCACTGTGCTGAGTTGAGTGTTGCAGTGTACAAGGGTGTGTCTTCCCTTGGGTCTTTTTTTCCATGTGACAGGATTGGTAAAAATTCTGGGGAGTTCTTCAAGCAGGCTTGAAAGTTTCCCCCCTACCCCCAGCTTTAGAATCTCTCATGTCTTCTCCTATTTGGCAGTTTACCCAGTGCTATTTTCCAGGTTTAAGAAATTGTTGGATGAGTAACTGCACCTATTAGATAAAGTCCTGGCCTAGGGCAGCTTAGCTTAACCATATTACAGCATACATTTTTTTTTTTTTTACCTTTACTTCCGTGAAAATAACTGGTGAACTACATAGAAAAGTCCTAAAACCATTTGTGCCAGTGTGTTTAAAATAGAGCTTTCCTGTCTTGATTTTGGAGGAGGCCCAAAGACCAGAGGAGCCATGTGCAGAAGAGGTGGTCAAGAACCAGTTTTGCGACCCTTGCCTTAATGCTAATAAGAGATGTTTTAAAATTGGAGAAGGGGAAGTTGCAGACTAGGAAATCTGTTTAGAAAGAGCTGTCCTACATATCCAACCTCTTTACACAAGTCCTGCAAATGTTGAGACAATGGAACCACAGGTTCAATGGTCCTTAGACTAACCAGAACCAAGAAATCTAAGGAGAATTTTTGACCAGCTCCGCCAAATGCTGTGAGATGAGTAGTTGCCTCTTTGGATATGGCCTGACCTTCTGGATATGTGAAGTCAAAAGATGCATGTATGTTTTCCTTATGGGACCAAGAAAGAGGACATGAAAGATTAAGAACCAGAGCTGGTATGGAATTTGCTTAGATTTTCCTAAAAGATTGGCTGAGGAAAACTTCAGCAGATAGAAGATGCAAATGTAACTTCATATGTCAATGAGAAGAGAACCACCTATCAGAAAAACCTGCAGAGATGGGAGCACAGCTTGAGAGGGCGCATATGTACAAAAGATCCCCCACCACTACCCTGAAATCAAAGAGTCAGTTTAAAATCCTAGAAGGCATAAAACGCCAATGCTGGATTACCACAACAGGACTAGTTAAGAAAGTCCTTTCATGCTTTTTACCTCTTCTTGGTATTTCTACTTCAACCATAGAATTGCCAGAGGCACTTTAATATCTAAAGCAGTGAGAGAAAGAGCTAGGACATTACAAAAACATCACCCTAACCCCATTTCACACAATAGACAAGTTTGAAGCAGGCCAAGGTGAGTTAGAAAAAACTTTTAATTCAAATCAAACAGAAATCACGATCATTGCTTTGGACTGGACATAATAATTATTGAATTGGACTTCTAATTTTTAAGTAAAGTGAACTAGTTAGTGATTAAAAAAAATAATAATAACGTGGACAAAAAAGATATAGCATTTGCCCAAATTTTTCTTCAAAGGCCGAGGAAGAAGTACCCTCACAGGGCTTACCTGGAATGTATAATGATTTCTGAGGTGAGGTGTGAGTTTGTCAGAAAATAAAGGATTTTGCCAGTCTCATCCCACTCATTCCACTCTTTCAATGTGTTGGTTAAAAAAAAAACATCCAAAATTAAAATAGACAAAAAATATAAACCCATAAACCCCCACATCATTATCACTCCTCTTCATACTTGTTTTAATCACCATGTTTTATATATATATATATATGTGTGTGTGTGTGTGTGTATGTTTATGTGTGTGTGTATAGTCTTCATTGGAAAAGAGCATTCCACAGGACACTTTTTTCTTTTTCTTCATTGACTATGTTCCACTTAACTACATTTAATCAATTCTAAAATGTAAAACTGTCTTCCCATTTTAATATCTTTGACATCTAGATGTCTTTCATAAAACGGCTTCTTGCAATTGTATCTGCAGCATTTTTTCTTTTTTCATGGTTCATAAAATAAAGATGCACCAAAGAATTTAACAGCCAATATACCAAGCACATTAGACTTGATATATTTCAAAGAATATTACAACAACAATAAAGCCAGCAAAAAACAACTGAATGTCCATTTACTTGCTCCCCAGAATGACTGTTAAAACTCAAGGGCACAACAGAAAACCAGAAGAACTCCAAGAAAAGTTTTTAAGAGGACTCACCAGAGTTGGGATCAGAGTTGCCATCTGCTTCAGTCCTCTTGTCCGGAGAGGCCTGGTCGTAGAATTCGTCCTGTGGCTGAACCAGAGGAAGAGGGTGTGAGATCAGGGTTCCACTACCCACCGGCTCGTGGTCTCCTAGACCACTGTCACTGCAGCTTTCCTGGGAGCCGTCAGGGAGATGAAAGGTAACCCGGCGCTGCGACTACAAAGAAGACCACAGGACACACCGTTAACATCCTTCCCAAAGGAAGTGGAGGCGGAATGCAAAGCAAAGCAACTTTAACACACAGTGCAATGTCGAGGCAGAATATAAAATACTTGGAACACAGCTGGAAACAAACATTTATTATTTGTCATTTCTTATGACATATCCAACTTGCAAAATACAAGAAAGAATTTCAATCTTGTGTAATTCAAGAACAAAAAACTTGTGGTATACCATTGAAAGTTGTAGAAAGAAAGGCAAAAACGAATATATATATGCTAATGGTCAAAGCTATTAAAAAAATTTAAATAAGCAGAATTACAAAAATGTTTGTTTCATAGATTTGAATAAATGCATAGATAATGCAACACAACATTCCATTTCTTTTGAATGACCTAGTATTGTGTTTATTTGAGGCTTTTAAGGTAGCTTTTGCAATGAAGCCATTATTGTCCACTGGCCCAGATATTGCTACCAGTCATTGGTTTTAGAATATCCCTGTTGAAAGGTGTTTGTAATCCTACTTTGGCATCTATTTACACAATGTCACCATCAGAAGTGACCTAAAATATGTATATGGGTACTTCAATACATTTTAGTATTTTAGTAAAATAAAATTGTGCCTTTCAGCACAGATCACTGCTTAGTTTTCTTGGTAAATATTCTTTTAGCTGATATAATCTATGAGATAAGAGAACATTTACAGGTGTGTATGGTGGAGATTTATGCCTTACAGAATTATGTGAGAGTAGTAAATTTGTGCTGTATGTCTGACTACACCTAATTTCCATTTTGCTTTGATAACCAAAAGACCTTTTAATATCGCATTGCATGTGGCTACTTCTACTCAGATTTAATAAAATTATGAATATATAAATAATAAATATATAATATATGGAGATACAATGTATAACAATTATTTTATCTTACCTAAGATTTGTGTTTTCAAGAGACAATTTATAAATTGTATCCATTTCAAAGAAAACAAATGTAGAGACAAAATGTTATAGGTAGAAATACTGCTATTCTATAAATGTATTTCTTATAGACTGACAATAGAATATAGCCTATTTTCTGTGAGTCACTCGTTCAAATCTAGCTCAGAGTCATAATGGAGAAGAGCTGATACCACTTTATTGCTGTTCAATGACCTGTGTGAAGTGATTTGATAGTTTAGTACATTTTAAATGAACTAATGCAGACATCATATAAACTATAATCATAAATGGTCCTAATTGAGTCTACTGTAGCACATTGCACCTTCAAGCACAACTATCTCACTACCATTGTTCCCTCCTCAATAGAGTTTGAACCATGCCTAGGTAAGTGCTACATAATATGCAAGCAAACTTGACTACTAATATATGAAATGCATTTCTACTTTTAAGGGAAGGTCATGCTACTGATTTTATTTATTAGTGTTTTCTCTCCCAGGTGAATTTAAACCTTGAGGGAATAATAATACAAGTATTCTCTGTTTCTGTTTCAACATGCACTTAATTCATATTAAGTGTATGCTTTTGTAATAAAGAACAGTGACCAGGCTGCCTACAATACATAATTGCCAAACATCGCTTTTAAAGTGATTGGTCTACTAAAAAGTCCATAGTTTTAGTGACTAAAGTATCTTTGATGTTACCTCTAGAGGACTATCTCTTAGTTATAGCTTAAGTGAATAAAAAGGAAGTCAAAACATAAGAGAGACAATGGAACAATCTGAATGATTCTGCAATCTTCATAAAGCATTTCTGGGAGATGCTTATAAGGCATTATAAAATATTTGTTTCATAGACAGAAGGAAAAAGGAAAATTAACATCTGTGATATTCTTCTAAACTGTTTTAATTACAATAGTTTGTTTTTCCTAGGAAATGTCCAAATCTGCAACATCAGTTATAACTAAATCCAGTCGTTCTCATAGTATCATTGGGCACCTACTGGTATGTAGCCAGGTGTTATATTTACTCAGAATAATAAGGAAAATATTTTTTAAACTATTTCAAATATAACTTATTAAATTCTATCTCACATATACTATACTGTGCTATTTCTTTACCACTTTATAATTGAGAATAACAGATATAAATCTAGTGTAATTTATTTGCTGTAAGACCCTGTAAATTAGTGTAATATAATGTTTAAACTACTGTGGCTTACAGAAATATTTCCTAATAAATTTGACTCAGAGATGTTTAAGTCTTAATTGGCAAAATTGTGCACAATTTATCAGTCTAATGGGAGGTAGGGGTGGTGATGCATAAGGACTAAGGATGGCAACATAGATATTATAGTATGAAGCAAATTGATTAAGCAAATCAATCTTTAACTTATCATCATAATGACTGATGCAAGTGGAATAATGTTTGGAATATCAAGATAGAAGGAGAATATTTGAATAAATTAAAATTAAGGAAAATGAGAATACATGGTACATTATGAAACAGGTGTTATGGGTGTCATCAAGGAATACAGTACTTATTCAGATTTTGCCCAAGAGCACCAGATGAGAAGTCAGAACCAGATTTCCTGACTGGGGGTTCTTGCTTGGTAGAGCCTGGCCCTGGACAAAGACATTATGTCTTTGAAGGAGTTCTTGGCGTTGTAGAATGGAGAGAGCAGTGCCTTAAGCAGAGGAGTGTTGTAAGGCTCAAACAGATAAAATAAGAAGTGTTCTTGTTATATAATACATGACACATAGTAGGTACTCAATAAAAGGTAGCTATAATTCTCAAAATTAATAGCTTTTAACTTCTGGGGTTATCAGTGTTTAGCAGTTATAAAGATGCAATTTCTTCACCCCAGAAAAAAGTATTGTTCTTTGGGAAGAGACCTGAAGAATCTTGGCATGCCTCACAATGTGCCTGTAGGTGTGACAGCCCAGAGCCTCTCTGAGGTGAAGCTGCTCTTGGGTGGAAGTGAGGTATGAAGACCAACAGTTTAGATCACAGGGTTTCTCCTCAGAGAAAGTGAAGGTTTTCCCACTATTCTTTCAAGAAACCTATGATTGTTTGTATATTCAAAGCGAGAGAGAACTTTTTACTTATAGTCTCTGGGAATTTTGCTTTTGGGTTATCCCCATGGAAAGGAGCCCAGTTTGGGTTATAAATATAGTGAAACTCTGCCTGACTGAATTGGGACAACACATGTTATCATGAGACTACTTCAGACTTTCCAAAGCCTGGGCACTTACATTTTGTTTCCCTGTATCTATTTCTTACCCATTCCATTTTCTCCCATGGGAAACATTATTACATTTGGCTAAGTCTGGTTGATGGTTTGAATGTCACATATGTTTATCTGATTTATCACTGACAGGTTAGCTCCAGGTCCCAGGCTGCCCCGAGGAAGAATAATATGGGAACAAGAACTACTAAGGCTGTTTCATGTTATTTTACTTTGGGACTGCTGATATGGATTCTGACCAAGCGAAGCTTCCATCAGAGACCCTGTACTCTATGCCAGCATAAAGTGCCATGCATGCAAATACAGGTATGTCCAGGATACTGTAAGTTGGAAGATGCCACACTGGTTAGGTCTGAGAAACATCACCAAGAACTTTTACAATATTTTTTCTTGTAGGTTAGTATGAAAGAGAGGGAAAATTCAAGATGCCCTGAGAAGATACACATGTTCCTATGTTGGACACTGTTTTCCAAGAGTCACTGAATGAGTCAGCTAAGAAATCTTAATCATTGCTTTAATTCTTCTCTTGTATGTGTCTTACTGGTACAGGATATTATTCACCAATGAATGATTCACATTCAAGCCTACAATCCCAGTCCCATTAATCTAGATAGGTTCCCATGTGCAAAGATTTAGTAGTAAGGTACATTGTGTCTTTGCATAAAATAGCAAAAATGTAAAAAAGAGTGAAATGTCTATTAGGTAACTAATAAATTATGTAATAGCATACAATTGAATCATTCACAATACTTAAAATAATGTTAATGTTTATTGATGTGGAAAATATTTATAATCTATTGTTAAGTGTAAAAATGAGGTTTGTAAAGATTTTACTGTGTTGAATTGCATTCCTGTTAATGTGCTTTAGGGTTTGAATATGTGTAAGCTAAGATCTGACTATGCATACACTAAGGGTTTAAAGCAGTGTTGTCTGGTCATGGAATTATGATATTTAAAATTTTTATTATTTTGACTACACTAAAATTTCCATACATTGTCTTTGCAATATTAGAACATATGCTAAGTTTTAATACTTAAAATTGTATTCCTCTTCATCACTTATAGAAAAATAGAACTTAGTCCAAGAGAAAGGAAAAACCTGATAGACAGTAGTTGGGCTTGCTCTTGAGCTAAGGAATGTCAGACAATCTTCTGTCACTGTGTTGCTACCCTAACTTTCATTTTTTACTTTCTTTACCTAGCTTTTTAATCATTGCAATTAAAGAGCTTTGCCTTTCCTCAAATCACAAGATTATAGGACTAGGCCAATTATTATAAGTCAAATAAACAAATTTACCAGTTAATGCCTGGCATTTAAATGATTATTTTTTGGAAAATTATAAATTGGTATTATAGAAGTAGAAACAAAGTGCTACAGAATTGTTTAAATATGGTTTCACTTGTAGAAAATTCTTTAAATAACTTTTTAAGGAAATATTTTGATTTAGTTCCTTTTATCACATTTAAAAACTAATATATCATCTATATATCTATCTAATCTCTAAATAGCAAACACACACACAAACACATCAGCCAGCAATTACTTATGATGAAGTAAAAGACAAAAAGTGTTAAAGTTCCATATATGAACTTTTTTGCTTTATCTCAGCATTAAATCTGATGAAGATATACTTTTTCTTTATTTGAAATAATATTTTCATATGTAGTTATTCTCAAAGTAGCAAAGAAAATCATACCAAAAAAGGGTTAAAAAAATTTTGGAAACTGCATTTTAATTCAAATATTTCTTATAACATTAGTTAGAAGCTTTTTGTTCTTTCTTATTTTTAAAAGAAGATATTTCAATTGAAAATT